GAAGGAATAATTTCACAAGTTCAATGCCAATCTGATCTGATTAGTGAGTTGTAGATTAGCCAAGGCTATCCAGTGGAACATTGTCTCAAACAACCAAACAAAACCAACCAGTCAACCAAACAAAAAACTCCAAACATAACCAGAAACAAGGAATATACCATCCAAGAAAGTGTCTGGTTGACAAGTAGATGCTGAATATCATCAGGGATAAGGGAAATGCAAATTAAAGCCATCCAAGGGATGACTAAAACTTAAAAGACCAAACATACTGTGGCTGGAGAGCTGGGTAGTGGTCACTTCATGCATCAAAATGAGTTCCAGCATACTATCACCTCAGAAACAAACCCTGTTCCTCTTAGTTGTCTCTTGAGCCTCCTCTTCCCTAACAATGAGCCGTCTGTCTCTAGACTCAGACATATAAGTGGAGTCATTCCATGAATGCCCTTTTGAGATTTTCCCCTTTCACATAGCATAATGTTGGAAAGACCCATTCATGTACCATGTATCAGTACTTACCCCCTTTATGGAAAAATAAATACTCTACTGTATGGATATATCATATATTATCTGTTCATCAGTTGACAGGGTTATCTCCACTGTTTGGCTATAGTGTAGAACCCTGTGAATGTCATTGTACCCACTGCTGTGTGGATGTGTTTTCATTTCTCTTGGATATCTACCCAGAAGTGACATTACTAGGTCATAGCATAATTGTGCTTAACTGTCAAGCTGCCTTTCACCGTGGATGCAATGTCAGCAGTCTATGGGGCTTCTGGGGCTTCTCAGTCTTCACCACCACTCAATTATCAGAGCTTGAGGGGCTTTTGTTTGATTTTTTTGAGACCTGGCTGTTCTGGAACTCCCTATGTAGACCAGGCTGGCCTCGAACTCACTGCTTCTGTTTCCTGAGTCCTGGGATTAAAGGCCTCCACCACCATGCCCAGTGGCCTTTGACTTATTATAGCTGTCCTAACGGATGTGAGCAGTTACCTAGTTTCTGTTTCTCCTCGCATTTCCATTTGCTTAGAAGTTTACACTTTCCCCATTGAATGGTCTCACCACCCTTGTTGAAAAACTAGTTGACAGCTGACAGGGATCTATTTTTGCATCTTAACTCTATCCCATTACTAATGCATCTATCTTGTATCTGTGCTACTCTGGCTCCTACTTTGTGGTTAACTTTGAAACCCGGGAGTGTGAGCCTGGAACTTGTGGCTGTTTTGGGTCTCTGAACTTCCACAGGAATCGGGGAATTGAATTATCAATTTTTACCAACAGGTGAGTTGAGTTGCTGAAAGGGACTATGCTGAATCTATAAATCAGTGTGGAGAGTTTGCCACCTCATGTTTTCTGATTCATATACATGAATAGTTTTCCATTTATTTGGATTCAAAAATTGGGGTGGGGCTGGGATTTATCTCATTATGGAGTTCGTACTTGGCAAACCCTCTGCAAGTTCCAGGGTTCAAGTCCCAGTATTTCATTAAAATTTGTTTCCAGAAATATTTTTGCATATCTTTAAAATCATTCTTCTAAGTTCTTTATTCATTTTGCTGTGAATATAAATGAAAGTGTCTTCTAAATTTTATTTTCATATTGTCCATGGCAAATGTGTACAAACACAATTGATTTTTGAGTATTGATATGTATCCTATCATCCTTGCTGAGCACATTTATTAGTTTTTAATATTCTTAAGATATCCTCTATATAAGTTCATGTCGTCTTTGAATAACAATTGTTTTAAGTTTTCCTCTCTAATTTGCATGCATTAAAAACGTTTTATTGAACATCTTAACATAACATTGCAGGAGTCCAGAATCTCTTGCTTTACTCTCTAAATGGAATGTAGTGATGGTTTCTAACTCTTTCTCTTTTCCTTTTTTGACAGGGTCTCACTATGTAGTCCTGTGTATCTTGGAACTGGTTACATAGCCCAGGCTGTTTCCCACTTTACTTTGTATTTTCTTTGTGTCTTTCTCATTGTATCTGTATTGTTTCTTATTAGGTTTTGTGTTTTCTTAATGTACCTTTCTTATACTGTTGTCAAAGTGCTCTTACATTAGGTTTTTAAAAAGAAAGTGGAGAGCTACAGAAACAACCTAGATAACTTACTTAAAAAATAAGAATAAACTTCAGAATGCATAAGTTCTTTCTTCATGTCTCTTAACTCCTGATTCAAAATTAACAGTGTCTGCTCACCAAGCTCAGATCAGGTGATCTCTTGAAGGCTCTAAGGAGATGGGATGAAGGGTCTGCCAAGTGCTTTATCTTCAGGAATCTTTTCTAAGAGACATTTACTTTCTACCAAGGTGTAACATTCTCTTGGAAATATCTCCAAATAATCAGGGGTCCCACTAAAAATGGGGATCGGTCCTGCATGAATAACGATGTCAAATATTCAGCATATATCTTTTCTAGAATGAAAATCTGAAATCACTTCTATGCTTACTAGCCCCTTGCGTTCTTCACTGCCCCAGGATTAAGTACTAATTACTGCCCATGGCAGTCATGACTGTTCATAGGCTTAGTCCCTGGCTCCTTCTCCATCCAAATGCGACTCAACATTTATAGACTATGTAAGTATTTATTGTCCACCCAACCTTATTGAGTATTGCAATGTTGCTAAAGTTCCTTTAAAGGCGGAGACACTAGCAACATCCACCTCTTCCTCCTGAGGTCCAGAGACAAACTGAGGCACCATTCTACCAAAGTTCACTCTGGGAACCAATGAGTTGTTAGGATTCCCTAGTGCACAGGTGGGTGAGGGGTCACTTACCGGAGGGGAGGTGCTCCCTCCTTCCTAGAGGCCATATTGAAAACTGACGTCACCCAGCAAGCATGAGGGCTTTCCAATAGATGGACCCCCTTCCTCCCAATCTTCCCTGCCTATTCACTCTAGTCCCTCCTGAAGGCCAAGTGCAGTTAAGGCAGAGGAACATGGAAAACTTGGGAGCGAGTGGCTGCATACTCAGTGAGGAGCCTCACTGCACAGCTGGGAGGGGACCCAAGCACCCAACAAGCACAGCTGGGATCATCTTTTGCCAACAGGTACAGGTGAATGTCTCAAGATGGCAGTTGTTTGGCTCTGAGGATAGTCCTGTGCATGTATGTACGTTGTGTGCTAGAAGCCAGCAGACAAAGACGCACTCTTACAGCGAGTTCATATGTATTATTACTGCGACAACCTCTCAATTGCCTAGTTCATCTGCAACAATGACTGGGTGCCAGTAAGTCTCAGTCCTTGCTTGTTGTCATCTGAAGTTATAGCACTAGCCTCCATTTTTAATTTTAAATTTGTACAAGAAATTATACATTATCCTTTTATCCCGCCCCCCCCCATCCCCTCTCAACCAAGGAGCAAGAAGGCATTGGCTCAGAGTCACAGAGGAAAGGAATTCTTCGTTTTTGAGCGCTCTTGCGCAGCACCCGCCCACGTGATATCTTACAACCCTGACAAGGCTTTGCCTACTGTGTGTCTGGCATAAGTGAGGTCCCCATTCTCAAAAGACTTGATGCCTCTAGAACAGAAAGTGATCAAAACACAACTTAGTGCATTATGTCACAGCCCCTCACTCTTCCTTCATCGCCCTCTTCTCTAGCTTCCACCGCCAAGGGTGGGATTCACCCCGGAGGCTTCTGGTTCCTCACCCACCTACCCGAACAGCCCCGCATCAGATCAGCCACTGGTGAACCAGCGCTGTAGGGCCACTCATCCTCAGCCAAAGGCTGGGCAGGGCGTCCGAATCCTGCGGCCCACTGTGGGTGGGCCAGGAGAGAGGTACTATTTAAGGCTCCCAGAAACTTGGATGTTTGAAGTCTCAGGTCAGGCTCTGAGATGCTCCAGTTTCTTAATAGAACTGGTTTCCCTTGAGGGCACATTCACGTGGGCTAAATACAGCCCTTCGGTGCCTCTTTCCCCGGGCTTCAATCCACCTGGTTTCCTCAAGTCAATCAAGTAGTTATCCTCTTCTGGTCATAGATTCCCCCGTGGGAATCTACGGTGCGTGGCACCCCTCATTGTTAGCCTAAATCAGATGCATGCACAAGAACCTCACAATTTCGCCTGCCACCCAGACACTAATGCTCCCACATCTGTTGGAAAAATCCTTCCCGATGGTGGAGGAACTACCCAGTCCCTTGCATCCTCGAGTCGCACCCACTTGTCACCCGCTTCGCGCCTTCGCCTTAGCCCCACACCCCGCAGCCAGAGTCGAGCATGCACGCCTCCGGCCCCTGGGTCATCGGGTCTGCCTCCGGGGTTCTAGTGACGTGGGCTGACCTCTTCGGTGATACCGTGGAAAACGCTCTGGAGCAAGCCCGCAACGACCTAAATTCCCCAGCGGGCACTGGAGTTTTTCTCCTGTCTCCAGCAGCTGGTGGTTGGGTCGTCCACGGAACCAACTACTACAGCTTCTTCCTCTCCAAAAGTGGTCCCCAGCCTGGCTGCACCACACAGCGACGGCTCCCAGCAGCTGGCTTAGTCTCCTTTCTGAAGGGAAGCCCCGCAGACCAGCAATTCTTTCCTCGTGGGACGCGCTCTGCCCTAGTGGATTACCCTTTAAGCGGGTTCCTCCAGGTGGGGCGTGTCACCAGGGCAACTTTCCTCGAGATGCAGCCCCTGCTCCCTGTCCCTGTCCCTGCCCCACCCCATGGCAGCTCCAGGTGCCGGCTCCGCGCAGCGCGTGGCAGCCTGGGGTTGGGACCTCCGCGCCTAGGCTTTTACGCGGACTCCAGCACGTGCTGCAGCGGGGGTGGGGAGGCAGGGAGCGCCCAGGCTCGGGATACCTTAGTGGCACAGAAGAAAGTCACAGGAGGGAAGGTGGCTGACTCTAGAGGGTCTTAGCCTACCTACTGATCAGGATCATGGTTTGCCCACGGCGTTCGGTGGCTTGAATGGGGCCGGGGCGCTCCCTGCACCCCCGTCCCGGGGCAGCTAATGGTCGCGTCCAGGCGGGAGGCCATGTTGCTGGAATAAAGCGGGCGGGGCGGCGCGGGCGAGCAGATGCGGCTGGAGGCGCGCGGGAGCTAGGCGCGAGCAGAGCGCAGCCGCGAGGGAGGCGCGGGGGAGGCCATCGGGGACCCGGGCGCCAGCAGCAGCTAGTGTCGGCCGAGAGCAGCGGGGCGCAGCCGGAGCCGCAGTCGCGATGGCCGTGGCTGTAGGGAGACCGAGTGTAAGTGCTGGGGCCTCGCTTCCCCAGCGCGCTGATCCCGGGGCGCCGGTGGGCTCCGCTTTGGGCCGCGTGCGGGTGGAGACTTGCGGGGACCAGGAGGGGTCTCTGGGTGGTGGCTGCTGGGACTGTGGGTGTGTGCATGCATTTGGGCGCGCGTCTGGGGCGGAGGGGAGGTTGGGGAGCCGGCAGGCTCGGAGCCTACCTGATGCAACAGTGGATCTCCTAGGCGCGCCCCTATTTCGGGGATGCGGGAGAAAAAGGACCCCTCTGCGAGGCTCCCTTTAAAGGACTAGCTTGAGCCGCTGCTTTCCCCAGCTACCTCCCTCTCCCCGCGCACACCGCTCGGCTGCTGACCGTGGGAGGAAGGCGCCCGCTTCGGAGGGTTTCCTCGCGGTTCTCCCGCGCCCCGGGGGCGATAGGGGCATGGGAATTGGGAGCTGAAGCGCTGTCGGGTCCAAGGGGTGGGATTTCCGTGGTGGTTTACCCCCGGTGTCTTGTGAAATTCCGGACACCCTCAGGCGCCCACCCGGGTGATCCGGCCCTGCCCAGGATGTGGACAAAGCCCTAGACACAAAGTTTTCAAAGGGCTCTCTTTCGGGGTGGGTGGAAGTCCTGAAATACTCTGCGGCTGGCAGGCCGGGGGCGGCGGTATTGAATGCGGGGCTCGAGGAAGAGGAAGGAAGGGAGGGTGGGTGTCTGGAGGAGGAGTGTCCCAGCACCCGAAGGCTGGGAGCGGATGCTCCTGTCCCGACTCTCGGCCCGGGTACACGCCACGGGCCGCGCCTTTTGGAGTATTCGACTCTGGATTTGCAGCTCCAGGGCGAGTGGGACTTTGAGGATGTAGTTCAGGGTTTGTTCCCCAGCCTCGGGTGTAAAGGAGGGAAGGGGCGGTGGCGGTGGCCCTCCCTTCCTTTTTATTGAAAGGAGCCAAGACCAGTGGGAAAGGCGGAGTCCTTTTTTCTCTTTCTCATTTTCTTTGTCGACGATCATAGCCCACTTTTGCCTGGTCTGTCATTGGGGCGCCTCCCGTGGAGTCCTTCCCTGGCTAGTACCCCATCTTCTTTTTCTTCCCTTTCGAACTTTGCAGCTAGCTGCAGGTGATGGCCTGACATTTTGCAGATATAGAGAAAAGTCTTAGGTGGATGCTGAAAGCTACGAACCCCGGATGCTCAGACTCTTGACTCTACCCCAGGCGCTTCTCCAGACACACACCTTCTGCACTCCCTGGGGAGTCCCAACATAGCAGGAAGTTCATGGGGTCGAGCTGTACCTATATTGATTTGGTGGTTCAGTTGTATTTTTTGTTGTTTGAGGTGCTTTGAAAGACTTTTTCCTCGGTGATAAATTGTGCTCTGGTCATCGCTAAGTGTATTCCTGCGGGTCTTTTAGGCCTTCCGAACTCTGTTACATGACATCGTCCTAAGAATTTTGTCTTCCTCTTCACACAAATTATGCTCTTGTCAATTGGTCCTAGGCCATCATTACTGAGGGAATTTGCATAGATCTCTTTAGAAACCAAGGTTAAATCTGGCCCTCACCACACTTATTTTCAGGGCACAGATTCAAAGAACTAAAATAACAATATATGTTTTAGTTGCATTGGCAAGCGTCTGGGAATGCAAGTATCCTGTGTAGGGGGTGTCTTTTTCGGCAACACTTAATGCGGGTGCATTCTTGAGGGTTGGGGGAGGTGGAGGAAATAATTTGATGCACATTTCCAATAAATTAGTAGGTTCATATCTGTCAGTTGAATAGGAACAATATGTGGGCTTAAGATATAGTTGTGTGGCTGTAATCATATCCAAGATAGGGTCTGCTAACCATATGTGAATTTAATCCTACAGAGTTCTCGAGTAGGATTCTCGAGACCTTTCATTCAGATAATTGGGGAGATTTTTAAAGTATGCATATACAGAAAAGAGAACTTCTCTACGCATATTCTCTGTTGTCACTGGAATTAAGGTCAAATTACTTAAAACTTAAAAACAAGATAGCCCACCCCACCTCCAACCCCAGTTGTAAGAACTGAACTACAGAGTTGAATAAGGCTGCCTGCCGAGGTTGTGTGATCACATTTACATAGGGCAGTCTGACTGCTTGTTCTCTGGGATCTTTTAAAGAGTGGCCTCTGAAACTTCTCATCCTCAGACTAGCTCCAGCGAGTGCAGAAGATTCTCCAAACCCAGCTCCTACAAGTCTGTGCTTCATCTATAATGTTGAAATTTTCAACCTCCCCAGCCCCCTTCTCTGTCCTGGGGTTTGCACAAAAGAAAGAAGGGGATGGGGAGGGAGAGGGCCACTTGGAAGTGGACTTACTCACAAATGGAGTTGCCTTAGTTCTTCAGAACTCATTAAACAATGTAAAAAGAGTTGTCAAGGAAAAACATAAATCTTTCTCCTGTCTGTACAAACCACTGTTCCTGTCCAGAGAGAAGAGCGACTTGAGTTGCTCTCAGTTTTAGACTTTCTAGTGTGACCTTTGCAGTGGATAACAATTGTGTTTTAATGGACAGAAACACCTATATGATAAGTGCCTGGGGTTTGTGGTGGCTTTACATTCTGAGGATTAGCTCCACATCCTGTGCTCGCAGCCCACCACTGAGCTACCCACCCCATCCGTCAAACGCTGTGTTTTCTATATTATGAATGTGTGTATTCAGTTACAACTGCTTACATTTCAAGGCCAAATCTACACATTTCTTAGGAGACCTATGTTGTTTGTGACCAAGCAAAAGGTAAAGTTTAATGTGATGCCGTTTATTCCTTTTTTAATCTGTGTTCATAGCTTGCCCATTTCCTTACTAGCCTCGACTCTGAGAAGACCTGAAGTACGGGTGCTACTTCCAGACTGCACCAGAGTGTTTGTCTCTATGGCCATATCTCCAGTTTGAATGGCTTAGTATTTTTGCATCCACATCCCAAAGTATCAGCTTGTCCTGAACAATGCATAATTACTCTGCCTGGAATCGGGCCTTATGTAGATGGCATCTCTCTCTCTTAGGGCATGGTATCTAGGTTATAGTGTCTAGGAACTGGGAAGAACTTTAGGAGTGAGGTGGTTTAGTTACTTCCCCAGTGTAGAAATATTGCTTCCTTTTTTTCCCCCTAGCTAAAGGCGTGTTTCAACTTTACCAGTGGAAATGGCGTATGATGTCCTTCAAGAAATGTGTTGAATTGCCCTTTCATCCACTGAGCTGGAAGGAATGGAAAAGCAAGTTCCTAAACCGAGTGAACGCTGGTTATTTAACGCCGCCATGAGTATCTGCGTCATGCCAGTCTCTGTCCCTGGAGCTAGAGACGAGCTGCGCACAGTAGGCTGCCTTCTGACTTGAAGCAGTTGTTTATATATGCGTTTGTTTTTAAAAGCTTCAGAATCCCTGCATGCCAAAGTGACATGGAATTCATGAACTGGGGAGGAAGGAAGTAAGTGCCTATTGCTGAGGACAGGTAGGAGCCAGGTAGTGGGCTTTTCTGAATCACTTCCGATAGTTTTAAAGACACCACCTCTCTTCAGGAGGCGGGGGTTCTGTGTGAGTTAGTAGTGACAACACAGTGATCTTCCTTTTATTTAAGTTGACATTTCTGTGATTGGAAAACGTGACAGCAGGAAGAATCTAGATTGATGCATGTGGTGGACAATTAATGGAGCTGAAAAGAGCTCAGGCAAGAGCCATCTATACGATATATGGACTCTGTGGCTGGGGTGTTTTCTAGAAAAAAATCATAACTCTTTAGCCAGTGATATGAACTGTATGCGTTGAGAACTAAAATTACAGTTTAAAGTGCAGTAGAGCTTCTTTTAAAACTGTTTGAAAACCAGTTAATTTCCTCAAAGAAATCTTTTCTCCTGGGAGTGCTGTTCACAGACCCCTGTCCCTGAAAAGTCTTCAGTTCTTTCCTATACCTAAGTGTTCACGCACCATCCAGACTTTTATTAGGTGGGGAGAGTTAGTGCCAATTCCAGCTACAGTGGGAACTCCAGGCTTCTTGGGGGTTTGAGTGAGGACACCTGAGACCTAGTCATGGTCTTTCTCAGCCTGAGTTAAACATTTGAGTTGTTAGTTTATGTTACTGCAGCATGAGCATGCAGAATCCAGAATCTGTCTCCTGGATGTGGGGTCCTGGGTCCTGTTAGACTGAGTCACCTCCCCATCCCCCAGGGTCAGTTTTTAATCCTAATGTTTAAAGTCATTTTTAAGCCTAATGTTCACTTGCCAATTTTGGGTTGGCACGTTAAAGATCAATAAAGTCTTTTAAAAACTCTTTTAAATGACCTTTAGCAATGTGTCCGTACTACAGTGAAGTGGGACTCAGGAACCAGTGAGGGGAACACACCCACCACTATCAGGTGACAGCTTTCCATCAACTTGTGGAGGTTTACTTCCCCAAGTGTAACCCATGTTGCTTAAGCTGCTAATTAGAAACCAAACAGTGCCTGGCTGGCCCTGCCTGATCATCTGAACGCTTTTACAGTGGGCGTGGGCTACCTTGTGTCTGTCGGGACAAAGGAATGAATGGCAGTGGGACTCTAGGTTGCCACAGTTTGGAGGGCCGGCTTTGATCGATTGCCAGAACACTAAGCAATCCCCCCAACTGAAGATGCCACACTCTGGAGCGGGCTTCAGGTTTTGTTTCGTTTTGTTTTTTCTTTATAGACTACTAATTTTTGGGGGGGGGAGAGGAGAGGCCGGATTTAGATTTTCTTTTCCCCAGTTGGGATTTGTCTTTTGTGGCCTTGGCTCCACCTGTCGCAGTTGGGGTCAGTAAAGCCAAACCATTATGTAAGACTCAGCAGATCTAAAGCTTTTATCCTTTTCCTCAAGGGGCCCTACTTTATAATATAACCAATACCCTCCCGCCTCTTTTAAATCTAGATTGACAGAAAACTCTCTTCAACGAAACAATGCCTCCCCTGACCCACTGAGCGCTGCCCGCAGTCCATCAATGCCGCCACTGTTGAACGTAAAAACAATACATGGGCTAAGGTGACACAGGCAGGA